AGTTGAGATAAGATCAATCAAGTCACAATAACTGTGTAATGGGGTGATGTGATTTGAATGTGTCAAGTACCTGAATCTTACATCTCAGCAAGCACAAAAGGAAATGTGGTGTTGCCTTAATATAAGAATTAACTGGGATGGGGAGATCGGAATGTGGCAAAAACAGACAAAAGATAACATTGGATTAATCTTGAGAATGTGTGTGTGGCAAAACAAGAATGGCAGAGGTGGCAGAAAGAATCTACCAGCAAGATGCAGTAGCACACAGTATGATGATAGAAAATCCATGCTGCCAAAAGGAAGGATCATGGCTACATTTAAAGTGTCAAAATGAATATCATAGAATGGCAACGTGCTTTGGTTTAAATAAGATTGTGCATTTATTTTATTTTTTTTTGAGATAGGTATTTTGTAACCCAGATTAGTCTTCAGACTCACAGTTCGCCTGCCTCCAATCCCAAGTACTGAGATTAAAGACATGCACCATCTGCCTAGAAGCAACCAGAGCTTTGTTTAAATTATAACCTTAGGTTGTCCATGCCCATACCTTCCCCCTAGTTACACAACGGCCTCGGTAAGAAAAACCAACAGTAAAGTCAGATAACAGCTCCTTATGTCCTTCGTAGGGATGAGTCTGGTTTGCGCTGTTCCCCGTCCCTAGCACAGTAGATTCCCTTGACAAGATAGTCTGTGGATCCAAAGTCTACCCCAAGGGGAATCTAAAAACACTTGGATGGAAAAATTCCAATTTTGTCTCAAGTAGTTTTTGCTCTTGTAACGGTGTGTGTGTGTGTGTGTGTGTGTGTGTGTGTGTGTGTGTGTGTGTTTATGAAATGGAAATATTCTGATCTCTGTAAAATATCTCCATTGAGAGAGTGGGGGTTGCATATTAGCCATGTTGTTCCTGCAGTTATAACAGAAAATAATGAAACGACTCAAGGATATTAATGGTTTTCATACCTGCTACTGCCAACACTTGTCAGTCGTTTTCTCAGGTCCACAAACCTAGGCACATGTGAGCAGGGCTGGAGGAGGTTTGCGGGCGGTGACTTCTTAGCCCGCCTTTGCAATACTCTCAGCACCCCTGGAGCAGATGTTGCTTTACACAACTGTGGGCTTTAGCATCTCTGAAAGCACAGTTTGGGATCCAGAGGTTGCCTAGACACAGAGATACAGACCTATAAAGATGGTTTGGCTCAAGTGACATCCACTGACAGCCACAGAGAGCAGTGGTTTCCAGGGCAGCCCCTTCCCTCTCTGTCTAAATCACTGATACTGAAAAAAATAGTTTGGTCAATAATACTTCTCTAGAAGAACAAATTTGTGCACACTTGCATGTGTATTTACATTTCAAATACCAATCAAGTATTTTAGTGCATTTCCTCCACTGGCTTATAGTACATCACAAAAAGTCTGTTTTCTAAAGAAGCTAAATCAAGAAGGAGCACTCTGGGTAAGACGCTCAATCCTCATTCAGAAAGACAAAGGGGATGGACATCAGAAGACAGAGAAAACAGGGAACAAGACAGGAGCCTACCACAGAGGGCCTCTGAAAGACTACCCAGCAGGGTTCCAAAGCAGATGCTGAGACTCATAACCAAACTTTGGGCAGAGTGAATGGAATCTTATGAAAGAAGGGGGAGATAGAAAGACCTGGAGGGAACAGGAACTCCACAAGGAGAGCAACAGAACCAAAACATCTGGTCACAGGAGTGTTTTCTGAGACTGATACTCCAACCAAGGACCATTCATGGAGATAACTTAGAACCCCAGCACAGATGTAGCCCATGGCAGGTCAGTGTCCAAGTGGGTTCCCTAGTAAGAGGAACAGGGACTGTTTTTGACATGAACTCAGTGGCTGGCTCTTTGATCACCTCCCCCTCAGGGGGGTGCAGCCTTACCAGGCAACAGAGGAAGACAATGCAGCCAGCCCTGATGAGACCTAATAGACTAGGATCAGATGAAAGGGAAAGAGGACCTCCCCTATCAGTGGACTGGGGGAGGGGCATGAGTGGAGATGAGGGAGGGAGGGTGGGATTGGGAGGGAAAGAGGGAGGGAGCTACAGGGGGGATACAAAGTGAATAAACTGTGATTAATAACAATAAAAATAAAATATATCTTTTTTAAAAAGGAAAAAAAAGTCTGTTTACATTCTTCTGTGCTGACACTATTGTAATGAACTACATAAGCCACTCCACACTTGAGGGGGTCGAAGTGCTGGCTTGGTAGCTAGGACCACTTACTGCTCTTGCTCTTATTGCTCTTGTGGGTTCCATTCCTAGCACCTACATGGTAGCTCACAACTGTCTGTTACTCCAGTTCCAGAGGGTCTAATGCCCTCTTCCTGACATCAGATGGTAGCAGGCACATACTCGGTGCACACACATACATTCAGGCAAGACTCTCAAATACATGAAATATATATATATATATTTACAAAAGCAACAGACTTCAGTCAGTTATCCAGGTTTTATTCAGACTGTATCTGGCTTTATAGCTTTAATTATTTGAAATGTAGACTTGTATCTTAGACCACTTGCTGTTGCTGTAACAAACTACCTGAAACTGTGATTTGTAATAGGTTTTCTGAGTTCCCAGTGTGGAATATTAGGGAGTCTGAATGCATGACACTGGTAACTGGTAAGGGCTTCTTGCTGCATCATAACAAGACAGGGAGCATCACAGGTCAAGATAATAAAAGCTACCCAGGAAATGTTTGCTTTTATGTCAAAGCCACTTTCGCTGTCAGTCAATAACTCATTAATCTACAAAGATAGCAGTCCACTCGTGAGGGCAGAATGCTCATTACCCAGCCCTCTCAACAGCCAGACTGCCTCACCACACACCAATAAGGGAATCCGATTTCAATAGGATTTCCAGGGCAGGCTAACCATGGCAGTATTTGAGCACACACTGGCATTTCATCTTTGGAGTTTATTTAGGAAATGAAGCATTGCTCAGTGGTTCCAGAAAAATTAATACATAATCTAAATAGATGGTAATTTCAGAGAGATTTAGCTACATTAGCACTGCTATTTCCCAGCACCTATAATCTTCTAAATTGACTTATTTGATGCTCTTCAGATCTGTTTTCTAAAGGCTCAGATTTGTATCTCTGTTGCTGCTTTTGAAATGCTCTCCCCAATGGTGACTTTATCTAATGTAATTTTCACATTTGATGCCATTTTTCTCAAAGGACAATATGGAACAGGAGGAACCATGTGGTTATTGCTTCACACTAAACCACTACTTTGGCTCAAAATGTGCATGAACTATAAGGACGACAAAAGTAGGGAAGAGCTGAAGGCCTCCGAGTAAGGAAACCTTGTGTTATGGTCGGATGGGTGGTGTGGTACATTCTTGGCAGAAAGGAGCTGGTGTGTGCAGCTCCAAACTGAGGCTCCCAGGCTGATCTGCTGGCTCATTAATAATTTTCCAAAGCCCTTGCTTTCACTCTGAAATCCTCTTTACTAAACTCTCAACTGTCTTGCTTGGTTGTCTTAAAGGAATTCAAACACAATTGATAACGTGTGCTGAAGGCCATGGTTTGATGCAAGCAATCTGCAATGCCTGCTTACACTTCTCTAGCAATGTGAAGGGACAGCTCTGTCAGCAAGACAGCATGCCTGTGCACTGAGCGTGTGTTCACGTCCACCAATCCTGTGTTTCACGTCCACCAATGCTGTGTTTCTTGTCTAGAATGTGATTTTGTGCTAAGAGAGGAGAGCGGGGTGGGTGTGGTTGGGTGGGGTTTGCTGTATCAGTGTCACACACTCTGTGAGTCTCCCTCCTTCTTTTTCTTCCTCCTCCTCCTTCCTTCTTTCTCCCATTGTCTCCCTCTTTCTCAAGAAAAAGCATCTTCCTGATTATCCAACTTATGGCAGAATTTTGAACTTTGGCGCTAAAAGGTAAACAGTGTAACAACTAAATATTAAGTTACGTAGAGCAAGGGTCCTGGTTTCGTTACAGCAGAACTGATCTACTTCCTCACACTAGAGCAAATAGGGGAAGTCCGACAGTTAACTGGACCTGGACAGCATAGCTGTCCCCCTGCCCACTCAGCCTGAGTTATGCAGGCAAAGATTCTTAGCCGGAATCCTGGCCCAGGGCCTGGGATGGGTGACTAAACCTACTTAAAGGATCACATTCTTGGTCCTGATGCTGCCACAAGCCCAGGGTCTGAGACTACCTTCTAGGGTGAGCATCAGGTCCACACACACCCCCCCCCCGCGCCCGCTTCCCCGTAGGCTTGGGGTGTAGGTGCAGGGCTGACTCTGGAGGAGTCTCTTCTAGTATCCATCGCGGGCTGGGGGCAGCCCGGACTCCCCCTGGACTGCCAGATGTTTAGCTTCTGGCCTGCTTGGAGCGTGGGGGAAAGAACGGAGAAAAGCTCTTTCCTATCCAGAGGAGTCACCTCTGGAAGGATGCTCTGTCCAGCCTGGGATTTGCCCAAAGTGGAGGGAGCGGGAAGGATCAATTTTGCTTTGTTATTGGGAGAAAGGGAGAGAGAGAAAGGGGAAAAGAAGGGAGAAAGAAGTGAGAAGAGGAAAGAGAGGAGAAGGGAAGATAGAGAAGCAAAGAGAGGAGAGTGGTTTGACTGCTGATGACTAGCAAGGAAGAGCAACAGGGAGCGGCCCGCGCCCCGCTCCCCTTGGGGCTTCTGAAGCCGCACGCACCGTAATTCCGTTCCCGGAGCTGTGCAGATTTCCACAAACAATGACATCACCGGGCGCCGGCGGCGGGCGGCAGCGGGGGGATTTTCCTAGGCGCGCAGCGGCCGGGCGGAGCAAGGGCGCTCCGGGGGGCGGGGGCGCGGGCTCGGAGCGCCCCCGGGGACCCGGGCAGCGAGCTGGGCCGGGAGGGCGGGGGCGGCGGGGGCGGGCTCGGGGCGGCCCGGGGCGGGGCGCGCCGTTCCGCTGGCCTCCATTGGCGGCTGGCGGGCGCGCGTCACCCGGGCTGGCGCTCGCCTCCAGCCCTGTGGAATTGAAGCCGAGGAGGAGCTGAAAATGCAGATTTAGCATCAAGCACAGACACACACTAGCTCTTTCTCTCGGGTACACACAGCTCCGCACATTCGCACCCCTGCCAGCCAGCCGGGCTGCACGACTCCACAGCTTCCCTGGCAGCCAGCTGCTGGTGGACAGCGCACAAATTTGCTCTTTGCCGAGCTTCTCTTCTGCCTCTTTTGCTATACAAAGATTTTTTTTAAAGAAAAACAGAAACAAAAAACTACATTCCTATTTTTAATTTGCATCTCCCTGCTCGTCCCCTGCTCCACCACCCTGCCCGCCTCGCAGCCCCACTTTTCACTCCTGAAGGATGGAGGTCGGTTGTGGATCGCAGTGGAAGGCTGCCGGGCTTCTCTTCTGTGTCATGGTTTTTGCGTCTGCTGAGAGACCGGTCTTCACGAATCATTTTCTCGTGGAGTTGCATAAAGACGGGGAGGAAGAGGCTCGCCAAGTTGCAGCAGAACATGGCTTTGGAGTCCGAAAGGTAAGATTTTCCCCATGCATTTCACATGTTGTTTCCAGAGGAGGGACAGCCTTGCGCAATCTCGTTGCAGATTTGCAAGTTTTCTGTCTTTTTTTTATGCTATGCAGCTATTCTGCCATCGGCTCTGAAAAACGACATTGCCTCCGGTGATCCTTCACGGGTTATGTAATTAAAATGCCCTTCATCTGTATTAGAAAGGTCAGCGAGATGATTTGTTGGTGTTGACTTGGTGTGGGAATAGGACGACCGCACCTTGCAAAGGCTGCTGTGCGCCCGGGCTGCTGTCCGAGGTACCAACTTCTCCGGGCTGCCTGGGGACAGAAGGATGAGGTCCAGAGCAGCTGGGCTGGACGCTGGCCGCTTTGCCGGGAAGCCTCCCCGCCCCCACGCCCCGGAGGAAGAGAGTTTCCCACCCAAATGGCTCAAAGATTGAGCGTCGCGTTCACCCCAGTTTTCCGACCCACGCCTGGAGGACTTCCCTCCCAGCGCCTTCCGTCCCTGCTTCTTTTTTTTTCCAGCGGACAAGAGCTTTCTGACTTGGAAACAAGGATGGGGTTCTCTGTCCAAAACACGCGCGGAACTTCTGCGCTCTGGCCCCCGCCTACGACCTCCCATCCCCAAAGCGCACTCCTCTTTGGAGAGTTCTCAGTTCGCTGCCGTAGGACACCACGGCGCCGAGAGAGGGGGATTCCCCCGGAGAAGTCTAGCCGTCCTCTCTGCGGGCAGCCAGCGTGGCTTTCCCAGGAGAGCACGGGGATCCCCATTCCAAGAAGTTGTCTGAGTTGAACTGTTCGAGCAATTGGATAGGGTTTCGGGCTTCGGTGCGTCGGGCCGCCTTGGGGGAAGTTAGGGTAGCCCTCCTGTGGGGAATGAAGGAGAAGGGTGCGCTTGGCGGGGCAATGTGTGACCAGCTTGTTCTTCCTTGGAAATATCTGCGTCCGAGATCTGGAGTGTCCTTAGAGGACCTGGCGCCGCTAGGGGAGAGTGGAGATGCAGGAGAAGTCAGGGTGAGGGGACCAGAAGGCCAAAGGACGCAGCTTGGCTCTGGTGGGCTGTCCCCTCCCTCCTGACCCGGCAAGGAGAGATGCTCTCCAGCACTGGGCTCTCTCCTTGGAGGGCAGCGCGGGTTGGTCTCTGTCCGAACTTGCTGTGCCTCTTGCCGATTCCCAGCCACCAGGAGGACGCCTCCAGGAACGCAGGGCTCTCCCGCCTCCATTCAGCAGCGCAGCGGCGCGTTTTCTACCTCAGCTAAGCTCGGCAGCCAGCGAGTTCCACTGAGGTCCTGGGAGAGGCGCGGGTCTGCGGGTGGCGCGCGGGCGGGTCTCACACACTGAGAACTAGTTGCTCCGGAGGAGTAACTAGTGTAACTAGAGCAGGGGGAGGATGCCAGAGTCCTGCTAATAGAGCAGTCTGTTGCCCCCCCCCCCCGGCTAGGGCCACGGCTGCTGCCGAAAGGCAGACACCCCATTTCAACACCCACCCCCGAAAACCGCAAGACCCAGCCTCCTAGCGTCATTGGATTTGAGTGACTATAGTTAGCCAATACCTTACAGTGAGAACTTTAATGTGTCAGAATCCTTGTATGCTTGCCTTTTTGAAAAAAATACTTACTTCATTATCAGGAGTGCTTGCGGGGGGGGGGGGATGAGGGGCTGACAGAGGCCAGAGGCACAGAAGCCGCTGGAGCTGGAATTACAGAAGGTTGTGGCTGCTCCATGTGGATCCTGGGACTGGCATTCACCCTCCACTCTGAGCCCTTTCTCTAGCCTGCTTACATACATTCTTACAGCGACTGTAAGAGTGCTTCTGTGCTGTGTAAGCAGCCTTGCTAGGGCTTGTGGGCCTGGGCTATGCTAGGCGGGAGGAGGCAGCATTCTTCAGCACCCTGGCAACCCTACCTGTGGGTGCCTTCTGTGCCAGCCCTCTCTGGCAGCGGAGGTAGACCTACTGCAATGCTTTCCCGCCTCCCGTTCTCCCCCTGTGAAAACACATTCTTAGGGTCTGATGCTAAAGCTTAATCAATGGTAAGAATAGCTGAGGCTGATAACGGCTTATGTCATCAATTTTCCAGTATAGTTAATTTTTTTTTATGGTAATGAGTAGTTCAATGAGAGCTTAACAGTTGTGATGGTGAAATGGAAGCTAGGGAGTATAGAAATAACCTTTTTTAAAATCAACCATTTTGGTAGACTTTGAACCAAAGGACACATGCACTTTTAGACTGACTATTTCTCCTCATTCTTTCTTGGAGAAGGGGCCACGGATTTTGCATTGCAATATAAAGCTGCAATTCCCTAACAGGCTTTTGCTTTGCTGTCTCTTTCCTTACCTTTCCTTATCCCCCTCAGATGGAACCTCCTAACCAAATCCTGAGACTTTTGCCCTAATACATATGCCAGGACTAATCAGTGTATGGCAAGGTACTTCTGGCTGAAGAGGCTTCATGGTGCAAAGCCTGCCTGCAATGCTCCCTCTTTCCCTCCTTTGGATCCATGCACTGTTGATCCTTCAAGACCTGGAGCTAAATCTTGCCTGATGCTACAGCCATGAAAAGCTTTCCTTCTCGCGAACATCCACAAGGCAGGAGTGGCAGGTACCTGTCACACCCTCAGCCACTCATGTAAATTACTGAAAGTGAGAGCTGGTTTGCTTTTCCATTGGGAAGTTAAGTGTTCAGAGCCCACACTGTCAGTGTTCCTGGCCTCCTCACCTTACCCAGCACACTGCTGGGCTTGACAGCCCTTAGAGAACTTACTAGCCTGCTGCGTCATTCTGTTCCCCAGTCACTGTTCTCTCTCGATCTCAGTGCACCTCTCTGTACGTATATCATTTATTTTGTATTTTAAACCCCAAAACATCCTTGTCAGTGGTCGCACCTTAGCAGCCTCCTAACTTTCTCCTGCTCAGTGTCAGGTATGAGAGATTCTCATTAGTTAGTTAATTCTTACATAGGAGGGGTGGGGATGCAGATGAGGGGAGCCTTCTGTGTTTCAGGGAACCTTATCCTAACCTCACAAAAGAAGTAAGATGTTCAGCATCAACGCTAGTTCTCAGATGAAATTCAAAGCTCTTATGAACTATCAAAGATCTTAAGTAACTGCCTGATGTTAGCAAAGGAAAGAACTCAAATATAAAATCAAATTCACTTGGCCAGCATCTGCTTCCAGGAAGCCATCCATGACTGTCAAGAACTTTGCTTTGGAGGCGCCATTTTGGAAATAAGAGAATTTTCCCTACCTTTCCTTCCTTTTCACCTTTGCTGTAATTCTCATTCGTTTGCTGTTGGCATGTGAACATGTCACTGACTACTGTGCTCATCTGTAAGCCTTGTCAGAAAATCAGAATGTAAAGATTCTGCCCTTTCCTGCCCCAATGTCACAGACTGTGCTAGGAAACAAAAGTCCAGGAAAGGTTTTGTTCGAGATCTAATGATTTTATCACTGGAAGAACTTTAGCAAATACTTATGTTTCTTCCACTAAGTAGAGGAAAATACCTGCCTAACTTTTTCTGTTTTATTTTGGCCTGGCCCTCACTCAAAAGCATGTTTCTATGGGATGCTCTGTCCGAAGAACAAGGTGGTAACAAAGCTGACTTCAGGCAGCACCTCCCACTCCTCAGCACACTGTTTTCTGACCTGTATAAACTGAAAAATAAAAATTTCTTACCAAAGTAATGACATTCCATATCAAGCAGTTTCAGCTAATTGTGGGCAAAAATACTGAGCAAAACAAAGAAAAAGTTAAGGGGTTTTTTTTTTTTTGAGAGATAACTTTTTAAACATTTTTGGACATTTTTCTTTTATTGTAATGTGTTTGGGTTTTTACCCATGGAGGACTAACGCTGCTTTGACAGGTAACATTGCAAAATAATTGTTATACGGGTAAAAATATTTTTCAGTTCTAAAAGCAATCTACAAATAATTGTGTTGACAGGTAATAAAAATAAATTTTAGATAATTGTACTTTATGGATATATAATTTAACTTAGGAAATAATATAGTTTAATATTTTCACAACGAACACACACTGTATCATGAGCACTGAAATGAAGAAACAATTATTATTAAAAACCATAAGGCCCCCATTGCTTCCTGGGTACTTCTGAGTTTGGGCAAACATAATCATCGATTTGGGAGATGCGGAAGTCCAGCAGGCACTCATATCCAGGTGGCTTCATAGCTATAGACTCACCCGGGGGTGGGTGAAAAGCCAAAGATGCATCTGTCCTAAGCAGAGGTTTGCTACCTTGTCGTGTTTCCCCGAGTAACCTGTTTACTATTTGCATACCATTTCCACCACATTAGGTGCTGGAAGTAGAAATTATTTACAGAAATATGTGTGCTGCTTACATCACATAGCACACGATTTTATATATAATGGATCAAGCATTTGGGACTTAGGTAAACACCAGGGTTGCTGGCACAAGCTCGCAGTAGCTCCTAATACTCAGTGGTGCAGGTATTTGGGTAGATGTGAATTGGTTTTCCATTGCTCTGTGTCCACGTGAGCTTTTATTGCCAGCTTAACACAATGAAGAGTCTCCTGTAAAAAGGAAGTCTCCGATGAGAAAACCTCCCAGGTCAGATTGGTGTGTGGCCAAGTCTGTGGGGAATTGTCTTGATGGTTGATTGATGTGGGAGGGCCCAGCCTGTGGTGGAGGGCGCCAGCCTGCACCCAACCAAGTTGTATAAGAAAGCTGAGCAGGAGCACAGGCGCTGGTAAGCAGTGTTTCTCAATGACTTTTTCCCCCATTTTTGTTTGAGTTCCTTCCTTATTGATGGGCTGTGACCTGGAATTGTAGGTAAAATTAACCATATCCTTCCCCAAGCTGATCCTGCTGGTGATGTTTACCACAGCAACAGAAAGCAAACTAGAGCACTATGTGATGGGTCCCTTCAATACGCACCCTGTGGACCTGCACTGAGTCTGGCAGGTTTTAGCAGAGCACTTCGCTTAAGTCCTCAAAAGATAAAATCAGAGCATCAGCCAGCTGTGACCCC